CCCCCCCCCCCCCCCCCCCCTGTGCACAGTCCACCTTGGCCACCATCACTCATGCAGATTTGGTTGAGTGGACCGGCGTCGAGGATGCGCTGCTTGTGGAGTTCGGCCCGGAGTTGCCCTTCAGCAAGACACGCGCTTTCAATGCCTGCTTCCAGGCACTGGCCGCCGGTGTGCGGCCCCGCGCGGATGACATCCTCTTTTTCACGGTGCGTCTCGCGCTTCGCATGCGCCCCTCTCTGCCTGGCGCCCCGTCCCTCTCTCTTCCTCCCTCTCTCTCTCTCTCTCTCGCGCACGCGCGCACGCGCTCTATCTTGCACGCGGGGAGTGTGAAGTGGCATTTGGTTTCGCCTCGTCCGCCCCTCCGGCGGAGGTGTGTGGTCCGGGCAGTGGCTCTTTCCCGGACCTGTAGCGGGCTTTCCGCCCTGCCGCGCGCCATTTCTCACATGCCGACCTGCTGGGTGGGGACCGCGCGAAAACAAATGATAGGACGTCGATATCCAACTGCCCGCGGGGATTGGGCATGAGTTACGGCGCTTCGTGCGGACCGGCTGGCAAGCCTTCGCCCCGGTGGTGCGCTACGAGCACTGTGAGTGGGTGTATGGCAGTGGCCCGCCACCCGGATACCTGGGCGAGGGCGACGACCAGCCGATCGCCGAGCGCATCGCCGGGCGGCCGCTGGCCACCGATGAGGTTCATGATGGGGCCATTTTCAGCAGCGCCCCGCGTCGACACCGGGCCCGACGCAGTGACTACTTCGACCCGCCGGCCAATGTGTCGCCGGGTTCGGAGGAGTACGAGGAAATGGTCGAGCTGCCCGACGGTCCGGGGCCCTGGGCCACGGGGCCCGACGCGCCGGATTCCGCCAGCGAGGATGCCGATGGGGCCAATGGGGATCCGGCGTCGGGGCCCGGGCAAATGGCGGTCTCCCCCGAGGAGAGGCTCACTGCGGGCGACCGGGCGGAGGACTTGCGCACGGCCGATTGGGCAGCCGATGATCGGTGCTGGGGCGATGGGGGGTATGGCTTGGTGGCCATGGCGGCCGCGGACTTCTATCGACTGGCTGCCGGGAATGGCTTCACCGCCTCCGGCGGCCCGGGCGGCCGGCAAGGCACCAATGTCGATCCGGCCGAGGCGTCACACATTTGGGATGCAGCCGTCGACCAGCTTGCCGAGGAATTGGAGGAGCACATCTGCCTGCGCATTGCCGGAGCCATCACCAAGGTCCGGGAGCCGGCCCTGCCCTCGATCCCTCCAGGGCTGCTGGTTCGCGCTACCGGCGGCCAGGCGGTTGCATGTCCGGCGGCGGTGGCCGGCCGGCAGGCCACCCACCGGCGAGGTGACATGACGGGAGGCGGCTATCGTGTTGGAGCTCTACACTGGGATGTCCCCCGCCGCGGGGCCCAGGCCGAGGCTGGCTCGAAGCCCAGGGCAGGCGGCGAGCACACACCGGAGGACCTGCCCGCCGGCGCGGGCGGCACGCCGGTGGCTGAGGACGACGAGCCCGAACAGGCCCCGGCCCCGGCGGGCGCCTTCGCCGGGTTACAGCGCACCACCGCCGGGCCCTATCGGGTGGATCTGTTTGATCGGCGCGCCGGCTTCGAGGACACCGATACCCTGCTGCGCGCTAAGCGTCTGCCGGTGTGCATCACCCGACGCAGGCATCCCCAGCTGCTGCACAGCTGGCACCCGCCCTCGCGGTGGAACTTCGTCCGCAACAAGCCCGGCCTCGGGGCCGGAGCCGGGGGGGCTGAAGCCTTCCACAGCGCGACCAACGTGTGCTGAGGGGCGGCCCCATGCCGTCGTAAACACTCAACTTGCCCTTGCTCATGGCGCCACATGGGAGAGAGGACCCAAGGGGGCCCGCCCGCCGCGTCACCCATGCGCCGCCCGACAATACACTTGCCGGTGTCTCCACCTACCCCCCTCGGGGGGATTATTCGGAACACCCGCCCACTCGCCGCACATGGGCATCGGGGACACACTTGTGCATTTGCCGGCGTGACAGCCAGACATACATGCCAGCAGGCACGCAAGATAGAGAGATAGCGAGGGGAGAGAGAGAGAGAGAGAGAGAGAGCAATGCTACAGGAGGATTTCTATTCAGGGAGTGAGCGTGCGCATGTGCGGTGGGTTTAAGACCGGGCGTGGGAGGAGGGGGAGGGGGGGGGGGGAATAATGTACAGATCGACAGGATGGCCACCCATATAGAGGGAGACAGAGGCAGAGGGCGGGCGGGGGGGGAGCTCAGGTATCCTTACAGGAGGGTGTGAGAGTGGTGGGGGCAGCACTGAGCTGGGCCCTTGCCGCCGGCATCTGGGCCGATGACCTCCGGAAGCACATGGCCCTCCCGACGGAGGCGAGCCATCTCCTCCTCTTGGCGGAGCTGAGCCAGGCGCTCGCGCCGGCGCATGGCCGCCCTCTTGCGGTCCGACGGCTCGTAAGCGTTGCCGGCGTCCGGGTCGATGTCCTCCTCGTCGGTGGTTTCGCACTCGCTGTCGGACTCACCAACCTCGCGGCGCCGGTGGAAGATGCAGCACTCTGGCACGTCGGGACCAGTGTGTGGAGTGGGCCGGAGCACCGCGGAGAGCGAAGTGCGAGCGGGGTATTGGCGTGAGCGGGGGCGGGTACAAGTGCCGGAGGGAGGATGCAAAGGGGGG